GTTGACCTGGAGCGCTCAGCGCTCCCGGGGAGAGGCCCCCCAAGACCAGTTCAGGAGGCCCCCGAGAGGCAACCCAAGAGACGCTTCTTTATATACAAGGGACTTCTGGCCCACGACCCAGGCACGATGGCGGGATGGGCCGAAGGCCACCAAATATCCGACACCCCCATGCGGCGTGCCACAGTGGCGCACGGCGTACCGAACTTTTGAAGTGCTTGGGCAATGCTTAAAGGTTCCTAGTGAAGTCTCGGCCCAGCCCGCTGAGAAGGCCCCCAAGAGGCCCCTCAGAAGCCCCCAAGGGGCTCCCAGAAGCCCCCAGGAGGCCACAAGAGGGCCTCAAAAAGCATCCTATGCCTCCTCCTCCTCCTCCTCCTCCTCCTCCTCCTCCTCCTCCTCCTCCTCCTCCTCATCCTCCTCTGCTCCTCCTCCTCCTCCTCCTCCTCCTCCTCCCTCCTCCTCCTCCTCCTCCTCCTCCTCCTCCTCCTCGACTCCTCCTCCTCCTCCTCCTCCTCCTCCTCCTCCTCCTCCTCTCTCCTCCTCCTCTCCTCCTCCTCCTCCTCCTCTCCTCCTCCCTCCTCCTCCTCCTCCTCCTTCCTCTCCTCCTCCTCCTCCTCCTCCTCATCCTCCTCCTCCTCTCCTCCTCCTCCTCCTCCTCCCTCCTCCTCCTCCTCCTCCTCCTCCTCCTCCTCCGCCTCATTCACCTCCCTCTGCTTGGCCTTCCTCCTCCTCCTCCTCTCCCAAAAGTTCCTCCAAGAGGTTCCACAAAGGTTGGGGGAGCACATGGTCCAATAGCTTGGCCAAGCTTCGACCCAACGATTGGCCGCATGGACGTGTCCGAAAGGCAGGGGGCGGCTGTGATTCGCCGTAGGCGTCTTCGATATGCAAGAGAACAATGCGCGCTTCACGCGCTTAGGTTCTAGTCGCAGTTGCGCCACGTCGTGCGGCCATCGAGTCCGCTTTCCTTCCGCGACATCAGGCCACATTCATGCGCGAGTGCCGACGCGGCGCAGAATCGGTACAAACCACTGTTTCTCGCATCTAGAGCGCTGCATGCGGGCTGATATGCAAGATGCGCAGAACCTGCCAAGGGAGGATGGAAAGAGAAAAGGTTCGCCAAGGTCGTGGAACAAACACGTTCTGGGGAGAGCGTACCAGGACATGCTCGTGCGTTTCGTCACTTCTGATTCGAAAATTTGGTATCGCCTCGAAACTGCGAGGATATCTCGGGCGACAGGGTCCAGACCTACGCGCACGCGGCCTCTCGAATCCCAAAGATGCGAGGAAGTCTTATGGACAACGGGCCACAAAGCCTCGCGCTGTGAATCTCGGAGCCCACAATTAGGGTGACGTCTCGTGCGAGGTGGGCCAGACCGCTTCGCGCGCCGCAACCTTCTCCCCGCCCCGCGCCTCGATCTTGGACTGTAGAGCGACAGGCCCCCGAGAGACTGCCCCGGATGGTCCCCGTCGCCGTCGTCGTCCTCGTCGTCCTCGTCGTCATCCTCCTTCTCCTCCTTCTCCTGCTCGTCGTCGTCGTCGCCATTTCCCTCCCCCTTCTCCTCCTCTTCCTCCTCCTCCTCCTCTTCCTCCTTCTCCTAGTTACGTCTCTTCCTCCTCATCATCCTCTTCCTCCTCCTCCTCCTCATCATCCTTCTCCTTCTCCTCCTCGTCCTCCTCCTCCTCGTCATCGTCGTCGTCACCGTCGTCGTCGCCATCATCGCCAGCGGGACCCCCCCGGGCCGAAAACGAGGCCCCGATGAGACGCCTCCTCCTCCCGCGGGAGGGGGCCTCTGGGCACACGCCCGCACGGCTCCCGCAGGCGGCGGCCTGACGCCCCCATGGGCATCCAGCGCGCTCCATAGGGCCTCCAAGAGGCTGAGGGGCAAGGATAGAGGGGGGACTGGCTCACGGGGGGGGGGCGGAAACATCAACCCGGAACCGGCGATACATCGCCGATGGATCGGCGATACGCCCCCGGTAGCGAATGCACACCTTCGTGGGAGGGGTGACCCCTATCGACGATCAATGGGCGATTGGGGGGTCGATGCATTCCAGGTTGAGCATATCTCCACCCCCTATCGTTGGGCCTGAGGGGCTCGCCTCAGCGTCTT